ATATTGAGTTTTCGGCGTTTTTAGCTATTATTTTGATCACTTTTTAGGGCGTGAATTATTGAAAACTTTAAAATGGCCATAACTCCTTAAATATTGAGTTTTCGGCGTTTTTAGCTATTATTTTTGATCACTTTTTAGGGCATGAATTATTGAAAACTTTAAAATGGCCATAACTCCTTAAATATTGAGTTTTCGGCGTTTTTAGCTATTATTTGTGATCACTTTTTAGGGCATGAATTATTGAAAACTTTAAAATGGCCATAACTCCTTAAATATTGAGTTTTCGGCGTTTTTAGCTATTATTTGTGATCACTTTTTAGGGCGTGAATTATTGAAAACTTTAAAATGGCCATAACTCCTTAAATATTGAGTTTTCGGCGTTTTTAGCTATTATTTTTGATCACTTTTTAGGGCATGAATTATTGAAAACTTTAAAATGGCCATAACTCCTTAAATATTGAGTTTTCGGCGTTTTTAGCTATTATTTGTGATCACTTTTTAGGGCATGAATTATTGAAAACTTTAAAATAGCCATAACTCCTTAAATACTGAGTTTTCGGCGTTTTTAGCTATTATTTGTGATCACTTTTAGGGCATGAATTATTGAAAACTTTAAAATGGCCATAACTCCTTAAATATTGAGTTTTCGGCGTTTTTAGCTATTAATTGTGATCACTTTTTAGGGCGTGAATTATTGAAAACTTTAAAATGGCCATAACTCCTTAAATATTGAGTTTTCGGCGTTTTTAGCTATTATTTGTGATCACTTGTTAGGGCATGAATTATTGAAAACTTTAAAATGGCCATAACTCCTTAAATATTGAGTTTTCGGCGTTTTTAGCTATTATTTGTGATCACTTTTTAGGGCATGAATTATTGAAAAGTTTAAAATGGCCATAACTCCTTAAATATTGAGTTTTCGGCGTTTTTAGCTATTATTTGTGATCACTTTTTAGGGCATGAATTATTGAAAAGTTTAAAATGGCCATAACTCCTTAAATATTGAGTTTTCGGCGTTTTTAGCTATTATTTGTGATCACTTTTTAGGGCATGAATTATTGAAAACTTTAAAATGGCCATAACTCCTTAAATATTGAGTTTTCAGCGTTTTTGGCTATTATTTGTGATCACTTTTTAGGTCATGAATTATTGAAAACTTTAAAATGGCCATAACTCCTTAAATATTGAGTTTTCGGCGTTTTTAGCTATTATTTGTGATCACTTTTTAGGGCATGAATTATTGAAAACTTTAAAATGGCCATAACTCCTTAAATATTGAGTTTTCGGCGTTTTTAGCTATTATTTGTGATCACTCTTTTAGGGCACGAATTATTTGTGATCACTTTTTAGGGCATGAATTATTGAAAACTTTAAAATGGCCATAACTCCTTAAATATTGAGTTTTCGGCGTTTTTATCACTTTTTAGGGCATGAATTATTGAAAACTTTAAAATGGCCATAACTCCTTAAATATTGAGTTTTCAGCGTTTTTGGCTATTATTTGTGATCACTTTTTAGGTCATGAATTATTGAAAACTTTAAAATGGCCATAACTCCTTAAATATTGAGTTTTCGGCGTTTTTAGCTATTATTTGTGATCATTTTTTAAGGCATGAATTATTGAAAACTTTAAAATGGCCATAACTCCTTAAATATTGAGTTTTCGGCGTTTTTAGCTATTATTTGTGATCACTTTTTAAGGCATGAATTATTGAAAACTTTAAAATGGCCATAACTCCTTAAATATTGAGTTTTCGGCGTTTTTAACTATTGTTTGTGATCACTTTTTAGGGTGTGAATTATTGGAAACTTTAAAATGGCCATAACTCCTTAAATATTGAGTTTTCGGCGTTTTTAGCTATTATTCGTGATCACTTTTTAGGGCGTGAATTATTGGAAACTTTAAAATAGCCATAACTCCTTAATATTGAGTTTTCGGCGTTTTTAGCTATTATTTGTGATCACTTTTTAGGGCATGAATTATTGAAAACTTTAAAATGGCCATAACTCCTTAAATATTGAGTTTTCGGCGTTTTTAGCTATTATTTTTGATCACTTTTTGGTGCGTGAATTATTGAAAACTTTAAAATGGCCATAACTCCTTAAATATTGAGTTTTCGGCGTTTTTAGCTATTATTTTTGATCACTTTTTAGGGCATGAATTATTGAAAACTTTAAAATGGCCATAACTCCTTAAATATTGAGTTTTCGGCGTTTTTAGCTATTATTTGTGATCACTTTTTAGGGCATGAATTATTGAAAACTTTAAAATGGCCATAACTCCTTAAATATTGAGTTTTCGGCATTTTTAGCTATTATTTGTGATCACTTTTTAGGGCGTGAATTATTGACAACTTTAAAATGGCCATAACTCCTTAAATATTGAGTTTTCGGCGTTTTTAGCTATTATTTTTGATCACTTTTTAGGGCATGAATTATTGAAAACTTTAAAATGGCCATAACTCCTTAAATATTGAGTTTTCGGCGTTTTTTAGCTATTATTTGTGATCACTTTTTAGGGCATGAATTATTGAAAACTTTAAAATAGCCATAACTCCTTAAATACTGAGTTTTCGGCGTTTTTAGCTATTATTTGTGATCACTTTTTAGGGCATGAATTATTGAAAACTTTAAAATGGCCATAACTCCTTAAATATTGAGTTTTCGGCGTTTTTAGCTATTATTTGTGATCACTTTTTAGGGCGTGAATTATTGAAAACTTTAAAATGGCCATAACTCCTTAAATATTGAGTTTTCGGCGTTTTTAGCTATTATTTGTGATCACTTGTTAGGGCATGAATTATTGAAAACTTTAAAATGGCCATAACTCCTTAAATATTGAGTTTTCGGCGTTTTTAGCTATTATTTGTGATCACTTTTTAGGGCATGAATTATTGAAAACTTTAAAATGGCCATAACTCCTTAAATATTGAGTTTTCGGCGTTTTTAGCTATTATTTGTGATCACTTTTTAGGGCATGAATTATTGAAAACTTTAAAATGGCCATAACTCCTTAAATATTGAGTTTTCGGCGTTTTTAGCTATTATTTGTGATCACTTTTTTAGGGCACGAATTATTGAAAACTTTAAAATGGCCATAACTCCTTAAATATTGAGTTTTCGGCGTTTTTAGCTATTATTTGTGATCACTTTTTAGGGCATGAATTATTGAAAAGTTTAAAATGGCCATAACTCCTTAAATATTGAGTTTTCGGCGTTTTTAGCTATTATTTGTGATCACTTTTTAGGGCATGAATTATTGAAAACTTTAAAATGGCCATAACTCCTTTAATATTGAGTTTTCGGCGTTTTTAGCTATTATTTGTGATCACTTTTTAGGGCATGAATTATTGAAAACTTTAAAATGGCCATAACTCCTTAAATATTGAGTTTTCGGCGTTTTTAGCTATTATTTGTGATCACTTTTTAGGGCATGAATTATTGAAAACTTTAAAATGGCCATAACTCCTAAATATTGAGTTTTCGGCGTTTTTAGCTATTATTTGTGAATATAGTGAGGTACCGAATATAGCGGCTATATAAGAACATGTACCCATATAGGCCATTTTTCGCCATAGGGAGAACAACCCGTAATGTATTCTAAATACCGAATTCTGAATTTTTTAGTTGTTAAAATCATATAAATACCAAATATTGGTAGTACAATTATATAGGGGCTAAACGAAAACATTAACCCATATATTTAACCTTCGAACTTATGCTGCCTGTAGACAAAATACGATTCTATATAAAACCTTTGCTTCCTATCACATACAGTTTTGACTCTAACGTGAACCACCTGCAACCAACCTCAGACTGCTGTCATTTCTAAGCCACTAGTCCCACATTTTAATTAAACCAATCAACTGCGTCATTATACCCTACACCACAAGGTGGTCAGGGTATTATGTCTTTGTGCATTTGTTTGTAACAGGCAGAAGGAAACGAGATAGAACCATAGTTCCTTTTGATTATCTGCATAGAATCACATTCAGAGTCGATTTATGCATGTCCGTCCGTCCGTCCGTCTGTCCGTCCGTCCGTCTGTCCGTCTGTCCATGTATTTTTGTAAACAAAGTACAGGTCGCATTTATTGCCCGATCCAGATGAAATTTTGCAAAGATCTTTTGTTTGGCCCAAGGACGAACCCTATTGAAATTGGAGATAATCGGTCAAAATTTAGATATAGCTCCCATATATATCTTCTTCCGATTTGCCTTCCATTGTGCACCAAACGTGTAATATCAGCCCGAATAGTATGGAATTTTGCACATACAACCAAATTAGGCCTGAAAATAAGTATGCCAAATTTGATCGAAATCGGTTCAGATATAGCTATAGCTCCCATATATATTGTTCATCCGATTTGCTATTTTTGTCGTTCGCAGCCGTAATATGCACTCTGTAACAACAATATTTGGGGAAATATATCAAATACAGCTCAGAAATACATTTGCTAAATTTTATCGAGATCGGTTCAGATTTGGATATAGCTCCCATATATAACTTCGTCCGATTTACCTTTTATTGAGCACCAAACGTCTAATATTTGTCCAAATGGGATGGAATTCGGCACATGCCACCTAATTGAGTCTAGAAGCTAGTATGTCAAATTTGGTGAAGATCGGTTCAGATATAGCTATAGCTTCCATATATATAATTCATCCGATTTGTTATATTTGTTACCCACAACCGTAGTATGCACTCCGTAAGAACGATATTCAGGGAAATATATCAAAAACAGATCAGAAATATATTTGCCAAATTTTATCGAGATCGGTTCAGATTTGGATATAGCTCCCATATATATCTTTATCCGATTTCAAATTAATTGTGCACCAAATGGGCAATACAAGTCCGAATTTAAAAGATACAAATGCTTCGGCATATTTAGTCCTTTGAACTTTAAATTATAATTATAATCATAAGGTGTATGATTGAATTCTCCCATAAAAACTTTTAATTGTTATGTGGAGCTCTACTTAATTAGCAAAGTGGTGTAGGGTATCATAAAGTCGGCCCCGCCCGACTTTAAGACTTTCTTTACTGGTTTTATTAATATTTTAGTTTTAATCGTTCGTACAAAGGAACTTCGGTGACGGTTTGCGCCTTTGTTTTCTCTCGGAACATCCCTGATTTGACCAAATAATAGGGTCGCACAAGTTCGTTCTGTTCTTTATAGAAATCGACCAATAATTTGGTGGAACGTAGATGTGTTATGCCCTTGAATAGCTTTTCCATTGTCAGCAATTCATCTGGGAAAACCGTATGTATGGGTTCGTCAAATTCAGACGGCTGCCAGGGGCGATCTTTGACGGGAATGGTGCGTCCAAAGGCCACGGTTATAATTTTCTTTGGTACATTTTTCAAACGATTCTTGATATAGTTTTCATATTTCAACTCAATTGCCATCTAGAGGGGAATAGCAAGATATGTTGTGGAATTAGGGGATGTTGGGGGTTGTTTCTTTGCTTACTCACCTCCGGTACATTCCATTTGTCTGCCACGGTCTTGGCTATGGCTTTTACCTCTTTTGGTTCGGTTACAATCGATGCTAAAAGCTTTCGTTCACCCTCAATGGAAAATAAAGCTTTAAGCTTTTCCTTGGAAATATCCGAATCTCTATTGCTGCCCAATGAGTTTATCCAAGTGGTAAAGCGTTCAGCTGACTGAGAGGGTGTGGTATTAGTTAAGGGTTGCTGAGTGTGCTAGCCATTACTTACGGCATCCATAAGTTGTTCGGCTTGCTCGTCTAAACTTTTCTCCCAAATACTGCATTCCATGTCATAGATTTTCGAATCCCAGCAGACTCGTTTTTTACGTGGCTTACAAATGAAAGTTGAAGGCCAGTTGTGTTTCTTCTTCGGCTTGCCTTTGTACTCCAAAGGTTTTTCCAAATTTAAAACAAATTTGGGATGTTCATGTTCGAGTCTTTCAACTTCGGAGCAAGTGCTTTCATTGAAGTCATCGGGCTACAAATCCGTCGAAATGATTAAATCATAAATGAATGCATTCAATTCGAATCTACCTTTTTCTTTTCCTTTTTCTCCTCTTCCTCCTCCTCATCATCGCCCTCATCAAGCGTCATTGGAGCTTCAACTGTTGATTCTTCAATAAAGACATTCTTATCGTATTCATCGAACTCATAGGGTAAAATTTTAGCAACCCTTCTCCTCAGAGCCTTGGGCAATGTCAGCGAGAAATAATATTTTTTGATTGCCTCCTTACGGGTCTTCAGCATAGACTTCTTTTCAATTTCACCCACAACACGTGTCCAATAGGAATTCTTGGCCGTCAATGACATTTTCTTTTGCGAATTTTCCAAATAATTTTTGTTTAAATAAATTTATAATATTTTGCAAATTTATTTACTCGTTTGCCTCAGATTTGTTTATTTTGACTGACTGCCTGGTTGTTATGGTTTCCAAAATGTTAACTAAAGGAATTTTCAAAAAATTATATAGGTCACTGTCTGAGCTAAAAACTTAATTTAAATGGTATAGGAATGTTTTAAATTATTTCAAAAGCTTTTATTTTCAATGTCTCTACTGGGAAAGGGAAAGCTCCACAACTACGTGGATTAAATAGTTTTATACGGATTTAAACATTGAATTGGTATAGCTAAGAGCTTTACAAAAGCTTCTGATTCCACATTGCGCATAAAATATTATATGAATTATGTGGAAGAAGTTTGTGATAACTAAAAGTTCGACAAGAGATTGGACAAGGTAGCTTTGTATGAAAACCAGCATAATTTAAAAGTTTTGAGTTTACATTGTCGTGAAATGTACTTAAGGACATGTTACGTGCTTCTGTTATAGAAGTGAGGGTGCAAACTATAATGAACCTTTTTCTACTTAACTTTGTCATTCCTGTTGGACCCTACAAAGATTATATATTCTGAATCAGCGTAAAATTCTATGTTAAGCGATGTGCGTCTGGCTGTGTGTCTATCTGTTGTAATCACGCTATTTTTCGAACAAATTGAGATAGAAGGCTAAAATTTTGCACGCATGTGTATTTTGGAAGTGGCAGGTTAAATTCGTAAATGCGCCATGTCGTCCACGTTTTATTATTATTATTATTATTATTATTATTATTATTATTATTATTATTATTATTATTATTATATTATTATTATTACTATTATTATTATTATTATTATTATTATTATTATTATTATTATTATATTATTATTATTATTATTATTATTATTATTATTATTATTATTATTATTATTATTATTATTATTATTATTATTATTATTATTATTATTATTATTATAATTATTATTATTATTATTATTATTATTATTATTATTATTATTATTATTATTATTATTATTATTATTATTATTATTATTATTATTATTATTATTTTTATTATTATTATTGTTATTATTGTTATTATTATTATTATTATTTTATTTTTTTTTTAGTTTAATGCTTACTTTTAAAATGGTGCCAGAAAATTCTGAAATTTAATATTTAGATTACTGTGTTTGAAATTTAAAAGTAGTTTTGAAAATGTTTCCTATACTTGTACGAAAAGTGGTAACTAGTACTAAATTTGGTATTGCATGAAGGAATAAAGCTGAAATCCTGAAATTTGATATGGATGTCACTGTTGGTATCTAGTTCTGAGATCTCATAGTGGTTTGGAAATACGTGCTATAATTGCTCGAAAAGTACAAAGTGGTACTAATTTTGGGGTCACAGTAAGTGTCTAGGCTGCAGATTGTTTTGGATTTGTGCACTAAATGTTTCTGAATTTGGTATTAGATGAAGGGTTAGAGTTGAACATCTTAAGCTGGTTATTGAGACCACTGTTGACTTTTTATTAACTTTAGAACATGACTCGTGGGATTCTTGGGACTTATTACTATAAGATTTTGCATTACGCCTACTTTATGTGAGGAGGAGCACGCTATGGCGGGATTTTTGGAACCTCACACTTCAAGGATACGAAAAGTTCTGGAAGGTACAGAATTATTATTTGATTAGAACACCCTGGTGTAAAGTGGGATTTTTAGACACTTCATATTTTATGGGCCCGAAAAGTACTAAATCGTAAAATATTGTTGTTGATCGACTGAAAGGAGCTAGAACTTTGAAATTTCTTAATACTAAGAGTTTCTGTGACATGATCAACTTATGTTAAAATCTGGGTTATGTTATTTTTGATTCCTGTTCATAAATAGAAGTCGCTTGCCCATGTTTAATCATAATAGTAACAAGTAAGTAGAAATAATATATAATATAAATAATAGTAACAAGTAAGTTAAAAAAAAAAACAAGTAAGCAAAGGCTACAGTCGAGCGGGGCCGACCGTTGGATACCCTACAACACTATAATAAACGATTCAGTTTATATAGGCGAGATACTCGGAAGAATTCCACAAGATATTGTGACAAATAATAAAAGAAAATCATTAGGTTCCGTTTTCTAATTTTCGAATAATAGCAACTTAAACTAATTTGCTCATTTCCAATTTATTTGTAGATGTTGCAAGTAAATGGTCTATGATCTATTATCTGGAACCAATATTTCCCAAAGACCTATAATCTCTCAGAAGTGGCAAAAGATTAACATTTATTATTGGTTTTTGACTGAAACGCATCTATATGAGATACAGACATTTGACTATATTCTTCAACGAAATCAGCGGTAACGAAATAGTCAGAAGTGCGTCTTTCCTGTATTTGTGAATTCTCCAAAAAGTCTCCGGAATGGACTTGCTTGGCTTTTGCAATGTCCGGTAACCCCCATACAAATGTGCGTGAGGATCGGGCGAGAATTACGACCTGCTGACAATTTTGCAGTTTTGTTGGTCCATTTCAACCGCTAAATATATGGCGATCATCTCCAAAAAGAGAAGGCTTCTATTCTGACCCTCATTTTATCCCCATGCAAAATTTCGTAAGGATCGGGCCATAAATGCGATCTGTATATGATATCCTGATATCCTAACTACTTAGTTTTGTTAGCTGTAGAAATATTACCAAATGTTTAATTCAAAATGAAAATATGCCAAAAATATGACAAAACTGAAAAAATATGAGAAAATTTTACAAAATCAATATTTTCATCATTAGAGAGATATTTTTATGAGATTTTTTTAGACGTTTTTTCTTTCCTGCCAAGAGGCCATTCTGAATTAATGAGAACTGTCGAAATCAGTTCAGCCGTTCTCGACATATAAGAGATCTTTCAAGCATATCTTCTTTGTTAGACATATATATCGCACATATTTCGCTATATATCCGATTTGTTGGATGTTAATATCAATGTAAAGATCAGAAGTAACCTTGTCATGGCTTTGTGATTTCGCCGGTATTTAAAATATTCGCGGTTTAATGAAAAAAATTTGAATTTTTTCAACACAAAAGATATGGTCTATTTTACCCGCTAAATATTATCCGATGACCACCCAAATCGGTAGGCTTCTTCCCCGCTCTAAACTCTAGCTACATGCTAACTTCCGCGTCTATTGATCTATAATTGCGGCCTGTATAGCTACTGCAAAATCCGATATTTTTTCAGTATTTGGTCCATTTTAACCCCTAAACATTTGGCGATCATCTCCAAAAGAAATAGGGTTCTATTCTGACTTAAACCCCACCTACATTTCGAATTTCATAAAGATCGGACCATAATTGCGACCTGTAGAGTGATTACAAATTAACATGGACAGACGGACAGACGGACGGACATACATAGCTAGATCGACTCAGCTCGGCGAGCTAGGAAGATCCATATATACTTTCCTATATGGGAAACCAATATTTCGAGGTGTTACATAAATTCTGGCCCAATCAAACTTATAATACCCCCAACACATAGTGTTGTAGGGTATAAATAGTAATTAATAAAATAGTAATTTAAAAAAAAAAAAAAACAAAAAAACTTAACATATTATTTCATTTAAAGTAAACAAATAAATAGATATTAAAAGATATCATATTTCAATACCAAAGCCAAGCTCGTACATTTCGTATAATTTAAAGTATTTCTAGACGTTAATATTTTGTATGTATTTCTTTACTTTTTTACCATTAGCTTTTTCGCAAAAGCAAGGTTACATTTTTTGTAATTCTTCCAACAAAACTTTATTCAAATCTTACCAGAAGTAGTTGAGTAATATTGCCCATCTTAGAACTCTATCTAAGATTGACAATAATATTACGATGTACCAAGTTTGTATCAAATCTGATACTGTATTCTACCTTAGATCAACTCCAAATGTCCCGAAGTTTTTTAAATTTAAATTTTCCAAAAAAATCAAGCTTCAGCCATTTCGTCTGGGTGTTGATTCTAGGTCTGTCGGTTATTTCACTTTTCTTTGAAATGTACAGGATATATTACTAGTTACTTCTTAGTGCCCAAAGAGAAGAGCTTTTAATACCCTTGGTCATATATCTTTATATACAAATGTGCCTCATCGAAATAAAGGTTTTAGACCCTAGGTGTCTTTGGACCAAATCCGTTTCAGGACATTTGTTGTCGACCTAAGGTTGTCCGTCCTTGGAAAGAGATGTGAAATAACTGGCTGACCGAGAGTCAACGCCCAGACGGAACGGTTGAAGCTAGAATCTTGCAATTTTGTACAAGGGCCAGCCAGTGGTTCGTAGACGTTTGGTAAGTCTGTTTATTTTATTTTATTACTAGCTGGCCCGGTCCGCGTTGCCGGCCCGTAGTTTTTGTCTATTATGCATATTTGTCAACGCATAATTATTTAAAGATATGAATGTTATAAATGTTCACGTACTGGTCGATTAATTTTTAGTCAAATGAGCAGTAATTTGGAATTTACTGTACTTTGTACACCTCATAATTGAGGGCTAATTGATTTAAGAATAGCCAAAGTTAATTAATTTTTTAAACCCATTAGCACCTCAGATTGTGCATTAGAGTCCTCATAAGTCCCCCTAACCATGTCGGTCTGTTTGTCCGCCAAAAGGTGGACTTGAGGGGGTACTATTACATGGAGAAAATTCTAAAATTTGTAGATATGTTGAAATTTTTGTGTAAGATTTTCACCCCCAAATACACACCGCCAAATCCTTTGAAATATGGTAAAATGCGAAACATCGACCTACATTGAAAACTTTCTTCACCCCTTATAATCCAGGATGACAAATAGAGGCCAAATCGAAAATATAGCAGAACAACATAGCATGTCAAACTAAAAAAAAAAAAATCACGTGATTTAAATAAGTTTTATAATAAATAATTTTATCCACCTCATAATTGAGGGCAGACTGATTTCAGAATAGTCAAATATAATTACTATTTTACACCCATTACCCTAAGATGGGAACTAATTTTATTTGTCATTTAAATTGTAAATTGGAGACCCCATAAAGTCCATATTTTTCATCATTGTATAATTCAATGACGATTCAACAAATATTCGGTCCTGTGCTACTTTC